CCCCCTTGTTCATGCCAATGATTTTGGGAAGTGATTTATAAAAATAAAAACATAAAGCATGATATAACTTCTACGTCACAAAGTTTGTAAAGTACTACGTATAGTATATAATTTTATAAAATGATATTAATATTCTTAATATAGATCTTTGAATGAGTAATTATACATAAAAGATATAGTACAATTTAAGTGAATAATTAAAAATCATCTCTTGTTTAAAACTTTGGTAATATGAATTTGTTTACGCAGAATAACAGAAATCAATTTTATAAGTTATGAACTTGCATCCTTATCCACTCATTTATAATCAACACATGCACTTCAAAGCTACAGAAACTTAAAATACAACGTTATATATAAACACAGTAAGAACCTATACATTTTCACAAGAAAGCTGGTGCCAGAAAAGCTTGTTCACATTGAATAAGCTCAAAATGTTTTAAATTCTTGCAAAAAATACAAAACCCTCAAGTACTAATCATGTCAAGCAGAAATGAGAATCCAAAAAAATTCACAATGAGCTTACAAAAGAGTAGCTAGAACAATTCACATAGAATAAGCCTAAAAGTGCTCCTCTTTAAATTCTTGAAAACAATACATAAACACTGAAGAACTACACTTGCGAGTAGAAATATAACTCAATATAGCATATAAAATTGAGGATTATAAAGTCTTGCCCAAAATTCAACACTATACACAAAACAGTAGCAACAAAACAACAACAACCCAGTATAATCCCATTAGTGGAGTCTGGGGAGGGTAGTTTGTACGCAGACCTTACCCCTACCCTGGGGTAGAAAGGCTGTTTCAGATAGAAACTCGGCTCCCTCCCTCCAAGAACTCCCCACCTTACTCTTGGGGTGACTTGAACTCACAACCTCTTGGTTGGAAGTGGAGGGTGCTTACCACTAAAGTAACCCACTCTTGTCAATACATAAAAACAGTAACAACATAGAAAACTCCCCTAACAAAAGCTGATGACTTTACATAGAACACATTGTTTCAACTTCTTTGTGCTAAATTAAAGATTAGTTGGGTAACACAATTATATAGGCCATTAAAATGTTCTTACTGGTGCCAGGAAAGCTTAGAGGAACCTAAAATACAACAGCATAAATAAACACAGTAAAACCTATACATTTCCCCAATAAAACTGGTGGTAGGAAAGCTTTTATTTGGTTCAAAGAAGTCCTTACACTTTTCGACATGATCATTGAAAAGTGTTGCTTGGATCCTAAAAACACCTTCGTGTCTTGGATTTGTGTATGGTCTTAGTGATCCTCTTCGAATTACTGATACCTTTATATCCAGTTAGATAATAATAATAAAATAAGATATGTTCTATTATGGTTAGCATTCTTATTTGAAATATACAATAATCAAAACGATTTAAAAAAAATTAGCGACAAAATGGCTCATCCCTCATGTACTCACACTAAATAATAAATATTCTACCTCATTGTAATTTTAAATTTTTTTTGTCTATCCAATTGTTGTTTGACGTTATTTTGAACGGCATATGTACTGCATTATTTACATCTTTCCTTTAACTGTGCCTTCCTTCACTAAAGTGTTGACTGTTCCATTTGTGCCTTGTATCTATCGCTTTTCATATTAAACATGTAAGTAGTATTTATACCAAGTCTACACATAATGCTATATAATGGTTATTAAAAAACAGAATGTATGTTTCTACACAATTATGAATTTTGACTTTATCTATTAAGATTTAAGTTATGTGATATTTTAGATATGCATGATTTTTGTCATTATAAATCAAAAACGCTTTCTGATTTGAAATTCTAATACATATTATCATTTTATATTTTATACCATTTTTTCTTCTTCTTTTTTTTTTCTCGATTATCGTTATTGATTTATTCGTTGCTCAGTATGATTGCACTATTATGTGAATTTTTTATTAGTTTGTCTTTAGATTCAATGTCCTTGCTTATTACCTCCTTTAATATAACATAGATAATATAGATTTTCTACTCCTAACAAAGTTGATTATTAATTTATTACTCATTTACTTGAAATTCATTCATTGTTCTATATCTTTTTTATTTTTGACTTTATGTATTATAGTTTTAGTTATGTTTTGTTATTTGTATGAATTTTCTCATTATAATTTAAAAGATACTTTCTCATCTCAAGTTCAAGTAAGTTTTATCTCTATAATTTTATATAAAAAAATATTTTTCTTATGATTAAGTTTATTTATTCGTTATTTTAAATTCTTTCATTGTTCCATACTATTTGATTTTGATTTTATTAATATTTTAATTACGTGATATTATCTATTGTATTTTTTCTTCATAATTGAAAATTCACTTTCTCATCTCAAATTTAAATAAGTCTTATCATTCTATGTTATTTTTTACCTTTTCTCAATATGCTACTTGGCTTCATATCAAGCTACCCTACTATCCTTTTAATATAATTTAGATAACTTTTAATATAATATCTTCATATCAAGCTTGAATACCACTTGGCTTCACTTTCAATCTTTCTTAATTCTTCAATTGTCTAAATTTATCAATAATATATTGATTATTATTTACTTACTTTCTTTTATTCCTTAAATTAGTATTTTATCCATAATATAACTTCAAATTCTTTCATTGTTCAATATTATTTGATTTTTGATTGATTTTAATTACGTGATATTATCTATTATATTTATTCTTCATAATTAAAAATCCACTTTTTCATCTCAAATTTAAATAAGCCTCATCATTCTATATTATTTTTTATTTTTTCTTATTACGCCACTTGGCTTCATACCAACCTTCCCTACTATCCTTTTAATATAATTTAGATAACTTTTAATATAATATCTTCATATCAAGCTTGACTACGACTTGGCTTCACTTTCATTATTTCTTAATTCTTCAATTGTCTAAATTTATCAATAATATATTGATTATTATTTACTTACTTTCTTTTATTCCTTAAATTAGTATTTTATCCATAATTTATGACTGAAATAATTTTATAATTAATACTAATTTTGATATTTACTTCATTCAAAAAGATGTTATTTTATTATTTTGTGTAAAATGTATCAATATCTTTAATATGTTTTTCGACATTATATGAAATGACTTGGTTTCACTTTCATACGTTCTTAATTCTTCAATTGTCTAAATTTATCAATAATATATTGAATATTATTTACTTACTTTCTTTTATTCCTTAAATTAGTATTTTATCCATAATTTATGACTTAAATAATTTTATAGTTAATACTAATTTTGATTTTTTACTTCATTCAAAAAGATGTTATTTTATTATTTTGTGTAAAATGTATCAATATCTTTAATATTGTTTTCTACATTATACGAAATAAGAAATTAAAAATTTCTTATATTTTATTTTCAATATAAAGTTTTGATTTATATATTTTTTACTATGTTGTTTGTAATTATTTCATTATTATATACCTTTTATTTTGTGTGAATCGATAATGACATGC